CCTAAGGAGTGTGTACCTCCCAAGTACTATGGCCCCTTTATAGACCTGTATGGAATCCTGGTGTGGTTTTATGGAATAAAGCACTGGACCGCAAGGTCGGTTTGAACCACATGGTCAGCAGTTCAAACCTACCAGCCACCACACTTAACCACAACAATATATACAAATAGTGCCCAACTTAGAGACATATTTGAGGCAAGGTGAACGACACTTAACCCCCTGTGTTGTTCCTAATAAGAAGGACATTTGTGTACAATGTTGCAGCATGTATCAGCTGATGTTATCATTTGCAGATGTTCAATTTTTATTTACTGTTGAGAACACTGCATGTTTTGAAATTTAAAAAAAGAGAGGGGGGGGGAATTTGACTTATGTTAGAACTGACTTAAAACAAAATTGTGGTTACAGAACCCAGTCAGTTGTAAATTAGGGATTTACACAAAGTCTGTTGTAAAACTGGGCTATTTGCAAAAATAAATCAATAAAATTTAAAAACAGATATAAGAACGTTTCTCAAGCAATCTGTGAGCAAATGAAGTTATAATGGCCCAGGTGTGAACATTATGCTAAATGAAATTGTCGTTAAATGCTGTTGAGTGGGTTCCGACCCACAGCATTCCTGTGTGGGGCTTCCGAGAAGCGGCTGGTGAACCACAATTGTTGTTGTTGTTATGTGCCATGGAGTCGGTTCCGACTCATAGCAACCCTGTACAGGGGGGTTTCTGAGACTATAAATCTTTATGGGAGCAGAAAGCCTCATCTTTCTCCCATGGAGCAGCTGGTAGTTTCGAACTGCTGACCCTGAGGTTAGTATAGTAGCCCATTTTGTAACCACTACGCTACCAGAGCTCATCAATCACAAAATGACAAATATTGCATGAGTTGTTAGGTGCCCTTGAGTCAGCTCCAACTCATAATTAACCCTGTGTGCAACACAATGAAACACTGCCCCATCTTCCTCCATTCTTATAATCCTTGTTATGTTTTAGCCCATTGCAGCTGCTACTGTGTCAGTCCATCTTATTAGGGTCTTCCTTTGATACGCTGACCCTCCATTTTACCAGGCATGATGTCCTTCTCCAGGGACTGGTCCCTCCTGACAACATGGTCAAACTGAAAGAGAGGAAATCTTCCCATCATTGATACTGAGGAGTACCTCCCCCAACACAGATCTGGTTGTGCTTTTGGCAGCCCATGGTACTTTTAGTATTCTCCCCAACACCATAGCTCAAATGCTTTAATTCTTCTGTGGTGGTCTTCCTTACTTACTGTCCAATGTTCACATGCATATGAGACTATTGAAAATACCATGGCTTGGGTCAGGCGTACCTTAGTCCTTAAACTGACATCTTTGCTCTTGAACACTTTAAAGAGGTCTTGTGCAGCAGATTTGCCCAATGCAATATGTCATTTCATTTCTTGATTGCTGCTTCCATACGTGTAGATGGCTGATCTGAGCAAATGAAGTCATTTGACAACTTCAATCTTTTCTCCATTTATATGGATGTTATTTATTGGTCCAGTGTTGAGGATTTCTGTTTTTCTTTACATTGAGGTGCAACCCATATTGTAGGCCATGATCTTTGATCTTCATCAGTAAGTATTTTAAGTCCTCTTTACTTTGAGCAAGCAAGGTTGTATCATCTGCATATTGCTGGTTGTTAATGAGTCTTCCTCCAGTCTTGATGCCATGTTCTTCTTTATATAATAGAGTTTCTCAGATTATTTGTTCAGCGTACAGGTTGAAAGAATGCAACCCTGGCTCAGTCCTTTTCTGATTTTAAAGATTTTAAATATTCAGTATTTCTTTGTTCTGTTCTAATGACTGCCTCTTTGTCTCTGTGGTTTCTCATGAGCAAAATCAAGCATTCTGGAATACCAATTTTTTGCAGGGTCATCCATACATAGCTTGTCCTGATCCAGAGTCGAAAACCTTTACATAGTCAATAAAGCACAAGTAAACATCTTTCTGGTATTCTGTGCTTTCAGCCAACATCCATCTGACATCTGGAATGATATCCTTTGCTCCACATCTTCTGAATCCAAATTGTGTTTCTGTCACTGTATTGTTGTAGTTGTTTTTACATTATCTTTTAGCAAAATTTTACTAGCATGTGATATTGATAGTTCTCTTTGGAATGGGCACAAATATGGATCTCTTCCAATCAGTTGGCCGGTGGCTATCTTCCAAATTTCTTATCATAGACAAGGCCTCCAGTGCTGCATCAGTTTGTTGAAAGATCTCAATCTATATTCCATCAATTCCTGGAGCCTTGTGTTTTTGCCAGTACCGCCAATGCACCTTGGACTTCTTCCATCGGTTCTTGGGCTTCCAGCACTATCGGTTCTTGATCATATATTGTATGAGACCACTGTTACAAAAAGAAAAGATTTTCTTGCTAAAAGAAACATTCTATACTGGTTACCAGGGGTGAGGGTGGGTGTTGGGGAAGGAAAAATTGTTTACTGACTAGAGGGTTATTGTTAAATGCCATTGAGTCTGTTCTGACTCATAGTGACCCTGTATAGGGTTTCCAAGGAGCAGCTGGTGAGTTTGAACTGTCAAACTTATGGCTCAAACCGACCTTTTGGTCCAGTGCTTATCCTACAGTGCCAATCGGGTAGGCACTTGGTAGTTCACTTGGGGGATGGGGAAGGCAATATACAACAAGAGGGAGGTTGGCACAGGAAGATGAAAGTAATGGGAGTCGCAGGAATGTAAGAGTTAAGTGAATAGAGGTAAATACTCTTAACTGATGGTACATGGAGGGGATTGTAATCATTATAATGAAACGAAGACGTATTATTTGTTGAATGTAACACTGATGGTCTATTTTGTAAACATTCACTTAATTCACAGTATGAAGCTTCTTTTAAAAAAAAAGAGATTGACTCAAGATACACCCTACATTGGAGTCCTGGTGTGGGACTGTGGGTTAATGCTCTGGACCACAAGGTTGGTTTGAACCACAAGGTTGGCAATTCAAGCTCACCAGTTGCTTCTCGGAAACCCTACACAGGGTCGCTGTGAGTCGGAACTGACGTAATGGCACTTAACAACAACAAATAGAAGTTAAGATTTACAACACATATTTTGAGGGGACATAAGGCCAAACTTCGTCTCTCATACTTTGGACATATTGTCAGGAGGTACCAGTCACTGGAGAAGGATATCTTGGTAAGGTGGAGGGTCAGAGAAAAAGAGGAAGACCCTCAACGAGATAGATTGGCCAAGTGGCAGCATCGATGGACTCAAGTGTGGCAACAGTAGTGAGGTTGGCCCAGGATTAGGCAATGTTTTGTTCTGCTTTGCATAAGGTCGCTATGGGTTGGTACTGACTCTATGGCACCTAACAACAACAACAACAACAACAATAACAACAATTCAGTCCATGGTAGAGCAGAGGGGTAACCAAGAAGTTGACAGTTTGAACCCATAAACTGCTCCAGAGGAGAAAGATGAAGCTTCCGTGAAGATTTATTTATAGCCTTGGAAATCCTACGGAGCCATTCTGCTCTGTCCAGTGAGGTCCCTGTGAGTCAGAATTCAATCCACAACAAGGCTCCTGAGCGATCTTTCCCGCTGCTTTTCTCACATCACCACCAGGAGGTTTCCCACAGAGGACTGACCCGCTCCTGAAAGTCTGTTTTGCACTTGGGCACTGCCCCTTTCTGGAACAAGTCTAAGAGTTATAAATACAGGCTTGGCTCATAGTCTTTCATTTCAGTGAAGGATGGGGCCAGGGAGAAAGCAACCAGGCTGGTTTGGGGCCTGGTGGAGAAACCATCATTGTCTCTGGAGCCTTCTGGACTCGCCCATTAGAAGAGAAGGAAAGGAAACCTCCAAACCCAGGTCCCCTTTCCCCCAGGTTGCAGAACATGGAGAGACCAGAGGTCTGGGCTAGAGCCCAGTGCCCACAGGGTAAGCTAAGTTGCAGAGAAGTGGAGAACCCCTTGGTGAGTCAGACCATGGGCTGGATGTTCTGTCCATGACAACATCCTGGTGTGGACAATGGGCTGCAGGTCTTCATTCTTAGGTAGCTAATAATAGGCAATGCCCAGTGAACACTGTCCATGCCAGGCCCTTACTAAGCCTTTACCAAATGAATTCTCCAGGTGGCGCAGTTCAAGCCCACCAACCTCCACAGGAGAAAGATGACACTTTCTGCTCACACAAAGATTTAAAACCTCAGAAACATTATACAGGGTCGCTGTGAGTCACAACCAACTCGATGGCACTTAATCACTAACCTAAATGCTAGTGGTTCAAACTCACCTGGTGGTGCCAAAGAAAGTTCTGACAATTTTTTGTCAGTTGCCATGAGTCTATTACAGCTCCTAGTCAGCCCACGTGTGTCAAAGCAGTCCTGCTCCATAGGGTTTCCAAGGCTGTGACCTTCCAGAAGTGGAACGCCAGACTTTTCTTTTGAGGTGCCCCTGGGTGGGTTTGAATCATTCACTTTTCAGCTAGTTGAGAAGCCAGCCAAGTAAACATTAAAGAGCAGAGGTCTGTTCTAGAACATGAGTCACAATGGATTAGGGGTGGGCTGGGTGGGTAGTCCTATTATGCCCACTTTACAGACAGGAAGACAGCCACAGAGGGTTGTACTGGGCAGGGTCCCAAGGAACCCTGACTGCCCTCCTCCTCCCGTGGGCACGCGCTGGCTTGCTCTTCTTGTAAATGCTTTAACTTCCAAGTTCTCCCGGGCACCCTCACTCTCAGTCTTCATCCTCCCCCGCAGGCTGCTCCCCTGCCCAGGGAAGACCTTCATTTCCCACCGAGGGGTCAGCCCACCCACGTGGCCTCCCCTCTTTGAGCGCCTGGGCCAGGGGCCGCGCCCTCTCCCCTGCCGGGTGGTGGCTAAGGAAGAGGAGGAGGCTAGGGAGGAGCCAGCGTCCGGCGGGAGCGCCGCGGCACAAAGTGAAACTCCTGGGAGTGGTGGAGCGGGAGCGTGGAGCCCCACGGTCCCGCGGCCCCGGTCTGGATTCCTGGCCCCATCATGTCACTGAGCAAGGGGTTGCGGCTGCTCCGGCGGCTGGAGCCCGCGGGGGAGAGCAGCGTCCTGCTGGAGGCGCGCGGCCGCGGCGACTGTCTGCTCTTCGAGGCAGGCACGGTGGCCACGCTCGGTAAGTGCAGCGCTGCCCGGGCCTCCTCGCTGGCCCCGATCCCCTGCTCTTCAGTCCCTGGTCTCCTTTCTGGTCCCCTCCTCTCCAGACTCTAGTCTCAGGTCCCCTCCTCCCCTGGCTGCGGGCTCCGGTCCCTTGCCCCCTCATCTGTGGCACTGGGTAGTGCTTGGAGCGGACTCTTACTGACCCCGCGTGGCACTTACCGACCCGGGGTGTGGCCTCGCTGAAGGGAGGGGCATGGGAACCGTGGTAGGACCCCTCTGGGCGGGGTTCTGTGTTGGAGCTGTTTTAGGGTGTGCACCCTCCCGGGACACGTTACCTGCTCCGGACAGTCCGAGCATGCCTGGCGCTCTGCAGCTGTGGCACCGGCTGGAGACGAAGCCAAAGATTACACTTAGATCTGTGGATCTGGCTTCACTCCCGGAGGGGATGACGACCCCCGAAAGTGCCAACGGCACTACCCCGCCTGCCCATGCTGGACGCTTCTGTTCGCCAAAGTATTTAACTTGGCTCTCCACTAAGCACCCGGGGACCGCCTTGGCGCTGGGTGTGTTTGAAGTGAGGCTCAGAAGTCGCGAGGTGGCAGTGTGCTTAAGAGACTGGTCTCATTTAGAAGAGAGCTTTTATTATCCCCATTTTATGCATATGTAAACTGAGGCCTGGAGAGGCTCTTCTTGGCCAGGGGAAACAGTTTCTGTGGTCTGACTCTGCTGTGTGACTATTTCTGTGAAACCATATAATGCTATCATCCCCTTTCCTCTCTTGAATTGTTGCTAACATTTTTGCTGAAGGCCCAGGTTAAAGCATTCTTGGGATTTGAAACTTTCACATGGAGAGCGGGCTCAGAGGGGTTCCCAGCTCTACCTGCTTCCTGTCTCCTAAGAACACATCACTGAGAAGTATCACCTGTTGGAGGAGGCAGGCAGGTGTAGCAGGCACGCACTTGCTCAGTGCCTTCGAAGGGTCTCATCTTTTTTCCTGCATTTGTATGCATAGACCTGGCAGTGTTTCATTCTGTTCTGCATAGGGTTGCCATGAGTCCAACCGCCTCGACAGCATCAAACATGCATGGCTCTTCAGTGCAGTTGTGTACTTTGGAAACACCATCTGTTCTAGTCCCACTTCCCTATTATTTCAGTGGCAGACTCTCTCCTTCCATAAAGAAGACTCCGTTTGATTCCCAGTCAATGCAGCTACCTGTCAGCTTCCTCTTACCAGGAAGAAGGACATGGCTGTCTGCTTCCAAAATATCAACCACTGAAAACCCTTTGGACCGCAGTGGTTCAGAATGGCTGTGTATGGGATTGTCAGGAGTTGGTGACCAATTTGATGACTGCTAACAACAGCCATGGTGTTTTCAATCACCTCATATGCATGCAAAAGCCAGGCAGTAAATGAGGAAGACTGTAGAAGAATTGATGCTTTTTAGTTATGGTGTTGGAGGAGAATATTGAAAGGGCCATGGGCTGCCAAAAGAACCAATAGATCCATTTTAGAAGAAGTGCAGCCAGAGTGCTTCTTGAAGGCCAAGATGGCCAGGCTTCGTCTCTCATACTTTGGACATACTGTCAGGAGGGACCAGTCGCTGGAGAAGGATATCATGTTGGTTAAGGTGGAGGATCAGAGAAAAAGAGGAAGACCCCCAACGAGATGGATTGGCAAAGTGGCAGCATCAATGGGCTCAAGCGTGGCAACAGTAGTGAGGTTGACCCAGGATTGGGCAGTGTTTCGTTCTGCTGTGTATAATGTTGCTATGGGTCGGTGCCGACTCGATGGCACCTAACAACAACAACAACAACAACAACAACAGGATTCATTTCATTGGTATCTTCTTTCCCGGCATGTGTTTAGTCACTTGATCACTGAAACAATGCCTCTAGTATTTCCAGTATCCAAAACATGCAGTGAATTGTGGATTAAGCTATTATCAGATTATTGTAATTTGTACCCCATCCCAAGAAGTCCAAATTTGGTCATTTGGTTAGGCCTTGAAAGAAACACACAGCAATTTCCATTCCATTTTAGAATGTCTACTTCATAGCACATTTATCAGAACCAGGAGATTAATTTCATGGTAGAAAAAAACCACTGACAGGAAAATCCTCTTTGGTTGAATTATGGTGGAGCGAAGTAAGGTTCATACGCATTTATCAGTTCCTCCAGAGCCCACAAGGAAAAAAGATTTTATTTTGTCAAAAGTGAAAATTTAAATGTGATTAATGGGTATAACATAATGCTTATTTTCCATTAAGAAATGAAGTTTAGGCTGAGGTACGTTATGCTGATGGTTGTTACCAGGATGGGGGTTGGAAGGAAAGCTGAATACTGTGGCTTTGTAGGATAAGCACTGGACTGTTAGCCACAAGGTCAATGACTTGAGTCCACCAGCTGCTCCGCAGGAGAAAGATGAGGCTTTCTGCTTCCATAAAGATTTGCAGCCTCGGAAATTCTACACAAGGTTGTACACAAGTTGATGCATGCTCGACTGCACTTAAGAGCTACCATTACTGGGAGACTTTGGGTGAAATCAACCAACAAACCAGATGTCATTGAGTTGACTCTGACTCACGACAACCTCACATGTGTCAGAGCAGAACTGTGCTCTGTACTTTGCAGTGGCTGATTTTGGAGGAAGATTGCCAGATCTTTCTTCCGAGCCATTCTGGGTGAGTTGAACCTCCAAATGTTGGGTTAGGTGACTAGCATGCTAATTGACTACACCACCCAGGGGCACTGACTGACCTGAGCATTTCACTTTTAAAGTCTAATTTTCTGAAATGAAATGAAACTGTGTGTACAAAGCAGTTGTAGCAAGTGGTTATATTGCTGGCCCAGAGAAGGGTTGTCAGAGTCTGCTGTAAGTAGAGAGTTGGTTGTTGTTGTTAAGTGTTGTTGAGTCGGTTCTGACTCATAGCAATCCTGTATAGGGTTTCCAGAGAGTGGTTGGTGGGATTGAACTGCCAACCTTGTAGTTCAAACCAGCCTTGCCGTCCAGTGCTTTATCCCATAGCGCCTCACCAGGACTCCTTTTAAACTTCCTAATCAGGTCATGATTGTACAGAGTGACCCGAGCCCTGAAATTCCCATCTGTATTTGAGGGCTAGTGTGTTTGCTTTCCTTTCCTTAGCGAGGTTAGGAGCGCTTTCACTTTTATGGAAAAACTGCGATTTCTACTCTTGCATGGGATGCACACTTGTAGCAGCTAACATATTGTTAACTTCTGTTTAGCTATAGGGACCCTGTGCACCAGGGAACAAAATGCTGCCACCGGGTCCTATGCCAACCACATGTCTGATGAAACCGCTAGGGTTTTCGTCTGATTGACAGGTGGTGTCATGAGGTACATTGGTTGGGAGTCTAGCCAGGGACTCTGACATGGAAGCTGAGAACTCTACCACTCAGTCACTATTGCCTCCTGATCGTCAGCATGTTGTTGTTGTTAAGTGCTGTCGAGTTAGTTTAAACTCACAACGACCCTGTGTAACATTTCCCAGGAGCAGCTGGTGGGTTTGAACCTCTGACCTTGTGGTTCACAGCCCAACATCACCACACTACGAGTACTTCCTTAGCACCTGATGCTAACCACTCCCCCTCTCCATGAGGTTCACGGTTGGAGGCAGTTTCTTGCTCCGTGATATTCCAATGATGGTTCTTCCAGTGAGGAATGATATGCCCTGGGGTCTTGGGTTTACTCCGCACTGGTCATGATCTCTCCGTGGGCCCTGAGTGCCTCTAAACTCTAGCCAGCTGGGTTTCCGATGCACGCTGCTGCTTTGGGATGAGTCATCTTGTGCTGTTCTGACACTGGGTCCTACATCCACATGACACATTTTACCCCAGAGAGATCCAGGCTTGAGAAATGCTTCGGACTGGAAGGAGCTCAGAGATTCCTCAGCATTTTCCGGTAACGCCCAGAGATAGTCTGGCTCTAGAATTGGATTGTAGTTTTAGGGAGGAAGACTCTAAAGTGAGGAACTTGCTGGACTGCTAAAGGAAAAGTTCAAGTTCACCCAGGGGCTCCTCCGGGATCAACTTTTGGAAAATCAGCCATTGTGAACTCTCTGGAGCACAGTTCTCCTCTGACACACGTTGGGGCTCCATGAATCCGGGGCAGTCAGACGGCAGCCTAATTGACCCAGGTTTAGGTTCAGGATTTAGGTTGAAGAAAAACTAGTTCACTATTCACGGGCTGTACCCTGAAATCTATAGGGTCAGCTCTAGGAGGATTGTGTCCAAATTCCTTCTTCTAACGAGGCTGAGAAACAATTTTTTTTATGGATATCAGTGAGAACAGGAGGTCAGTGGCAAAAACGCCAACCTCACTAACACCCTTTTAAAAGGTTTTTTAAAGTTTTCTTGGTGACCTGCTTCTGACAAAATATAGATAGAATGCCATGGCATGTAGCAATTTCCCTTGGCCCATAATCCACAAATAGCATCCAGCTGTTCGGTTATTTTGCACATTGGAACGAAACGCCCTCACTGTCTTTCTCCCTTTCCAGCCCTGGTGGGTTAAGAGTTGGGCTGCTGACCGCACGTCCACCACCCACTCCAAGGGAGACAGATAGGCTGTCTGCTTCCTAAAGATGTGCAGTCTCGGAGACCCTAAGGAGCGGTTCTGCTCTGTCTGACGGTTGGAATCGACTCGATAGTCGTGATTTGTTTGCCTTGTTTGAGGGTTTTGGTCTCTTTTAGACTTCCTGTGAAGGGTGAGGTGTAGGACCTAGGCCTGCACTGTGACTGTCCTTGACCTCTTAGGCTCTCATGTTCCATGTTCTGCAAACAGCCACCAAGAGGGACGCTCTGAGGGCCCTGGAGATTGCATGTCCGAAACCTTCTTTCTTTCCCGTCCAAGCTGAGGGAAGGCTGGAGAAGCTTGGAGAGATTTAACTGAGTTTCTTGGAGAGTGTCCCTAAATTACTTGAGCTTCTGGGGGAGAAGGTTCTGTGTGCACACCAGGCCCCTGGATTCTGCAGCTGTATGTTTGTACAAAGGCCACA